GATCTATACTCCTCCCACCCGATCACTAGCTCTTTGTCTCAGCATTTTCGCTCTGAAGATGTCTCCCTGTGTGCTTTGTCTATTTGGCCGCTAGGCTGCCAGTCCCAGGAGGGCAGGGACTTCTGCCCAGAACACAGGTGTCTCTCAGGTCCTAACAGAGATCCTGGCCCAGAAGAGTCGCTGGCAAGACGTTAAATAAACTCCTCCCTTCAGTCTTCCTGCCACAGCACCCCTCTCACAGGGATGTCTGAAGGCTGGCGAGGGCAACGCTGTGGTGTGGATGGCCTTTCCCTAACTGTCCTATGTGTTTGCTCATCTCCCCAGAACGAGGCCAGCACTGCAGCATCTCCAGCGCTTAAAACATTTGCTATTAAACCATTAAATATTTGTTGAATAAATGTGGAGGATAAGTAGGGGGACCACGAACACCCCAGGAGGGGCTGTAAAGAGCCCAGGGACGGTGGGAAAGGGCATTCCCAGCGGTAGAAACGGTGCTCTGTGAAAACAAAACAACAGCCTGGACGTTGCAGAGAAGGAACGCCGGCCGCCAGTGATGGGGAGGAGAGAGGCTGGAGCGGTGGGAGTTCAGAGGTGGTGTTGAGTGGGTGCTGGGTGGGGGGCTGGCGTCGGCCTCACCAGGGCAGGCAGCGGGTCGGCTCACCATGGCTTCGGCGAAGATGTCCCCGGCGTACTCGAGTTCTCCCTGCAGCCCCAGCGAGCTCAGCGCCTCCTCCAGTCCCGGCGGCCTCTCCAGGCGTCTTGGGGAGACACTGGGGCCCGAGGGGAAGCCGTCAGGGACTGGGTCGCTCGAAGGCTCTGCATCGAGGGAGGCAGCGGGACTCTGCAAAGGAGAGGGCCTGGGGACTCAGCGCCTAAAGAGAGGCCTGAGTCGGGAGCCGGGCCCCTGGTCCCTGCCTCTCACCAGCATCCTCCACGAGGGTGTTGCGGGCGAGGCAAAGCACCGACCCTTGCAGCTAGGGGAAGAGAGGCGCGGCGGGCGCTTTAAATGCGCCTGGGCGCGTGCGCGCTGAGCCGGCCTTGCCTGGGTAGGTGCACAAAGGCGAGTACCCCGCAGGCTGGCTCTGTCCTCTCGAAGCCCTCTGAGGTCGGGCAGCTGGAGACAGAGCCTCATCCTGCCGCCCAGAAGCAGCCCCTCTGAGCCTCACTTTCCTCGACCATAAAGTCGGGATGATTTCAAAATGTAGAATCAGGGTTTGCACCGTCAGAGGATGGATGTACAAACATAGATCAGAGGTTAGAATGACCCTTGTGGTGTCGGTGTCACAATGGAATTGGAGATAAAATTGTGTGAACACATATATAGAGGTAAGTGTTGGGTATGCAAACATATATTTCCTAGCTTAGTCCACTGGGAGGGCTTAAGAGCAAGGACACCCCAATAGTAAGAAGCACCCGTACCATCCAGGCCCTGGCCGCTGCATCCCATTCTCCACTAAAAGGAACCAGGTCTACTTGGAGAAATGGCTGATCCCAGGGTCATACAAGAGAAGGTACAAGATCTGGAATACTTTTGTGTGGCAGAAAGTGTCCCAATGGCAGGGCAAGTCACATAGATGCAGAAGTCACTAGCTAAATCTAGAAAATGTGAGCATCAAGATGATAGTCACAGATCACAAACCACTGAATAAAATTAAAATACATGTTTATTCTGATATAACTCAGACAGTGGGAAAGAAAAGCTCTTCTAATCCTTAGAATGTGAACTAATAGATGTGTTTTGTTCTCAGACAGGGTCTCGCTCTGTCATGCAGGCTGGAGTGCAGTGGTGTGAACATGACTCACTGCAGCCTCAACCTCCTAAGCTCAAGTGAGCCTCCCATCTCAGCCTCCCAAGTAGCTGGGACTACAGGCATGCGCCACCATGCTTGGCTAATTTTAAAATTTTTTGTAGAGACTGGGGTATCACTTTGTTGCCTAGGCTGGTTTTGAACTCCTGGGCTCAAGTGATCCTCCCACCTTGGCTTCCCAAAGTGCTAGGATTACAGGTGTGAGCCATGCCTGGCTGAACTAATAAATATAGAAGGAGGGAAAATTCTATTTGGCAACCACCACAGCATCGTTTCATGCAAGAAACATCAATAGATGTTCAAACTAGTGGGTGAACATCTGATAGGAATCAGGGTATCTACAAAATGTCCCTACACAAGATGCTTATTAACTATGTAAACCAAAAGGTATCTGAGATAGGTCTCAATTTAGAAAGTTTATTTTGCCAAAGTTAAGGACGTGCCCGTGACATAGCCTCAGGAGGTGTTCGGGGCACCGCTTGGTTTTATCATTTTTATGGAGACATGAGACGTCATCAATATGTGTAAGCTGTACACTGGTTCGGTCCGGAAAGGCGAGACAACTTGAAGCAGGGGAGGGGGCTTCCAGGTCATAGACAAGAGACGAACGGCTGCTTTGAGTTTGATTAGCCATTTACTGAATGCACGATTTACAGGTACAGTCATCCATGCCTAGTCTTGCTCAAACAATAGGGCAGAGGAGGCCATCAGATATGGGTTTGTCTCACAGAAGCACAGGGATGACTTTGAACTCTGTCTTCTGTCCACAAGGAATTTCCTTGTGGGCAAATGGTGAGAGGTAAGTAGCTTAACAAACAATAAACCTTTAGGCCAGGCGCAGTGGCTCAGCCTGTAATCCCAGCACTTTGGGAAGCTGAGGTGGGCGGATCACTGGAGGTCAGTTCGAAACCAGCCTGGCCAACATGGTGAAACCCTGTCTCTACTAAACATACAAAAATTAGCTGGGTGTGGTGGTGGGTGCCTGTCACCTCAGCTACTCAGGAGGCTGAGGTAGGAGAATCGCTTGAACTCTGGAGGCCGAGGTTGCAGAGAGCTGAGATCGCACCATGGCACTCCAGCCTGGGTGACAGAGCGAAACTCTGTCTCAAAAAAAAAAAAACCAAAAACAAACAAACAAAAAAAACGTGAGGCAACCAACCCTGGTTGAGGGAAACATAACTGCAAAATAACTGCCCTGTGGGTTTCACACCTGCCAACTGGATGCAACGTGTGAGCCTGGTCATTAGCTAGGAATTTTTAACATACAAGGACATTAAGTGTGACCACCAGCGGACATTATAAAATCTGTGAAGAACAGCGGTCTCAATGTTAGCTTCCTGACCTTGACAACTGGAGAGCAGTTATGTAGCAGAATGTTCTCTGGAAAAGGTATACAGACGTGGAGCAGGAGGTGGAGGGCTAAATGGAAAATTCCGATCCCATTTTTGTCCGTTTTAAGTAAAATGCTATGAAGAATCTGGTGAAGGGTATATTTTGTAACTCTTTTACGTAACTTTTATTTTTGAATAGACAGTTCCCACCTACCCCACACCCAATTTCCCCGATGAACATCTCGTATTAGTGTGCCCCATTTGCCACAATCCGTGAGACCAATATTCATCTACTAAGTCCATGCTTTATTCAGCCTTCCTTTTTCCCTACGTTCTATTTCAGGACACATTTAGTCACCATGACTCCTTCAGTTTATCCTGAATGTGTCACTTTCTCAGACTTTTCTGATTAACCACCTTGACAGACAAATCCCTCAACTGAGATCTGATGTCTGCTTCCTCTCAGGGAGGTGGTGTGTGTCTGCGGGAGGAGGATCAGAGGGAAAGTGCCCTTCTATTACATCACATTAAAGGGACACCGTGAAGGGGATTCATCGGCAATGCTGACCTCGATCGGCTGGATGATGTTTGTCACATCTTCACTGAAAAGTTACTTTTCCCCCCTCTCCACACTGCACTCTTCGGAGGAGCTACTGCAGCCCACACCTAAGTAGTGGGGGTTACACAGCCCTCCTTGAAGGCTGTCTACAGAAATTACTTACGATTTTGTGTAGATTTGTGTATTCACACCATTTTGCCACTTAGCAGTAGACTTATTTCACATTTTGGGTGAAAACCCAATATTATGCTATTTATTTTGTTGTTCAAATTCTTTTCAGCTTTGACCACTGGGAGCTTTCTGCTGGCTCCTGTGTCCCTGTGACTTAAGCACATCTGTGCTTACTTTCAGGCACTGCAAGACGCCCCAGGCTCATCTTGTACATTTCCTGCCCCAGGCCTGGAATAATCTTAGTACAGTATTATTTTTCAAAGTTTTCTGCAAGTCTCCAATTATTTCAAAATTTATTTATGTGAATGGCTACACTTTTTTGGGAAGGTATTGGACGTTAAAATCCTGGGATGCAGACGACAAACAAAAGCACAAGCACAGTACAGACAGATAGCTAAAGTTTATTACAGGACTGCTGGTAGCACCAAATGAAACCAAGTCAATTCCTTTTAACAGGGCGGCTGAACCGGTTGAGGAGTCTACCCTGAGGAAGCAGCTGGAAAGTCTGAGTCCCCCAAATGCAGCAGCTAAAAGGGAATCTCACTGCTACCCCTGACTCAACACAGTCATCAATGCACACAGGGCAGCCCCCAGAGGCTTCACATTAACTGGAAAAGATGATGCAAAAACAGCAGGAAACTACCAATTTATTATGCCGTGTCCATTTGCACAGACGTAATCAGCACCAAAGTGAGTACTCAAGGTCCTGAGACCTTGGGTGAATTTACTTTCTTATACTCCTGCTTTGCTGTCTTTTTTAATGGCATGTATCATGTTTTTTTTTTTTTTAAAGACACGGTCTCACTGTCCCAGGCTGCAGTGCAGTGTCGCAATCACAGCTCACTGCAGCCTCAAACTCCTGGGCTCAAGTGATCTTCCCACCTCAGCCTTCCAAGTCAACTGGGATGACAGGCATGCACCACCATGCCCAGCTAATTTTTGTATTTTAATGTTGCCCAGGCTGGTCTCAAACCCCTGGGCTCAAGAGAGCCGCCCGCCTCGGCCTCCGAAAGTGCTGGGATTACAGGCGTGAACCATTGTGCCCAGTCTACTGTTCTTTATATACAAAAAAGAACTTGGAAATTTTTTAAATTTACATTGCAAAAGACGATTATTCTACTCAAAATTTATTTGGTAAGATTTTATTAAGACTCTAAGTTCAAACACCCTCCTTGGGAAAAGCTCTACAGGATAACCACATGTGCTCAACTATGGGGCCGGTTGCTGCAGCTGTGGGCCCCCATCCTGTGGAAGAGGAGAGAGCCACTAACAAGATGAGGTAGCCAGGCCTGTGCCCACACTACGAGACTTGCGTCACCGTGGTGAGCAGCAGCAACGTGGGTCAATTCGGGGCTGGGACGAGAAGGAAGAGTAAAAGGCCTTTCTTTATAGGCCTGCCTGCTTAGGACCACCAGGGTAGACTTTTGTCATTAAATTAAGGTACACATGACTTAAAAGACAAACTAAAAAACCCCAACCGAACACGAGTCTTAGCTGTAGCTAACTCTGATTTCTGTAAATTGGATCTTTTTCTGCTTATATTCACTTAAAATCTCAAAGACTCAACGGGTGTGAAGTGCTAACACCTTGTGGCAAAATCTCAAATTCATCTGTGCCAGGCCCTCTGCACAGCAGGGCTCAGCAGGGCAGGCCAAAGCTCTGGTCCCTGGTCCCTGGCTGGGGGAGGCGTGCCATCCGGCCAGTGCCCGGCCATGTGGCCACGTGACTCAAGCATGGGAAGTGCAGGGGCCCAGACACAGCCAGGCTAAAGGGCAGCGCCTAGCGGAGGGCTGACCCCAAGCTGAACGGGGTTCCAACCAAACGCTCAGGAGCTCCCAGGAGATAGCAGCCACGCCACCATGAACACACCACTGGGTCTGTACTGGAATTTGGGGGCCTCGAGGCTTCCGGGTGGCAGCATAAATGGGGAGGTGGGGCAGGACAGGAATGCCCCCCTCTAAGGCTCGGCAGCCCTGCGGAATGAACCACTCCCTCTCACTCAGTGACAGCACAGGCACCCTCCTCATTCTGGACTACCCAGATCTTCCAGCCCTGTCCCTCCACCCCACCTCTCTTAGCTTAAGCAGCACTGAGGGCCTGGAGTGGTCTCTGTCCACCACACCCCCACAAGCACGGAGCCTCCCCACACCCCTCAGCCCCACAGCACCAGCTGCACCCACCCTCTCCAGCCTGAGCTCCTGCACACACCCCAGCTGCCCTCGCCCTGAGCTCCTTTCTCACCTCCACACCCCTGCTCAGCGCCCTGCTTGCTGAAGGGAGCGACTACTACAGGAGGAGCTGGGGCCCAGGGGTCCGACTCCATCACCAAGGCAAGGCCCAGAGTGGCTGGGCCGGCGTGAGTGCAGGCTGGGCCCTGGTCTGAAATGAGTGTCTTTATTGCTTGTACCGTACAAATATGAAGACGAGGAGAAAGGCCAGTAGGGACGGAGGAGAACTGTCAGATAACGACATCGCACACAGAGGAAAAAGACCCTCACCCACCCGAACCAACCCCACCCTCCCCACCCTGCCATGAACTGCATCGTACAGGAGATGGGGTAGGGAGAGCAAACCCACAAAAGCTGAACTCCAAACACCCAGAGGTGTTGCTGCAGGGAGGGGAGGCGTGGGCAGGGCAGCTCATGGATCAAGGCGGGGCTCCTCCCACTAGGTCAGCACCCCTCCCCCACAGGATGAAATGCTCGGGCCAGGGATGGGGCCCAAGCCCACACACCACACACACTGGAGGACACGCTGCCCTCACACACAACACACACGCACACACACCCACGTGTGCCTGCATCCCGCCGACACACGCAGTCTGAGGCACACACAGGAGTCCCACAGCACTGACATGGACGTGCGTTCACGTTCAACCTTAAGGCTGCAGAACATGGGGCCCTGGGGAGAGGGAGGGATGAGGGGGCCTAGGAGTCTCCCTTCTCAGAGGCCCCCCACCCCAATAGCTACCGGAGATGCCCACCCCCACCCCTCCCTGACCAATTCCATGGGGCCCAATACTGTCCGGTGTAAGATTGTAACAGCCGAGGCGGGTGCCCCTCCACCCCCGCCGAGAAGGGGGTGAGCCCAGCCCACAGCCCCCAATGGGGTTAGGCCAGGCCTGGGGTCCAGCAGGAGGTAAGGCCAGCTGGAAGGAAGCCCTAGTAAGGCACGGGGCTGGGAGGCAGGCAGGTTTGCCCCCAAATGTTCCTCCTGCCTCAATCCATAGGGTGAGGGCAGCTTGGTGGAGAGGAGACAGGACCAGGAGGCGGCGCCCAGCCCGGCCCCTCCCGGTTCCCCATGGCGCAGATCCTGGGACCTGGCTCCATTCACCAGGGAGCAGCCCTAACCCCCAACCCTGCAGCTCCCAAGGGCCCCTGCCTGCCCCTGGACATTATTGCTTTTCTGCCCCCACTGGGGGACAGCAGGTGGGGGGTTGGACCACCCCGTGCCTGGCCACTCCGAGCCTAGGCCACGGGGCCTGGAAGGCAGCACCACTGTCTGCGTCCCACCAGAAGGCAGACTTCGTCCGGAAGCAGCAGCGCGGAGGCAGCCACCAGCACGACACCCGGGCCAGAAACTCAGGCAGGCCCCGGGCGTCAGGCTTCACCCCTCACTGGGGCTTGTGTAGATTAAAACCTGAATCTCTCCAACAGCCCGGGCCTGGGCGAGAGGTGGAGTATCCCAAAAGCGAGTCTGGGCGCAAAGGTGAGGCTGGAGGCAGGGGCTGCAGGGGCCGCTGGGGTGCGTCTGGGAGGGGCCTGAAGAAGAACTGGAAAGAGGGTGAGGAGGTGGGGGTGGGGGTGGGGGTGGGGACACAAACCAAAAAGGCAAAGTAAAAAGTTGGAAAAAACCACCCGGTGGTGATGGCTGCGTGCATGCGTGCGTGCGTCCTCTGCGTGGGCGGACTGCTCACTCGCGGATGCTGGCCGAGTAGGAGAACTGGGGGAAGTGGGTCCGCTGGTCCAGCTCCAGTAAGCCCAGGCTGTCATCTGCGGGTGGCGGAGGTGGATGGGGAGGACCGGTCAGGAGAGGGCCTGGGACACCTGCCCAGACTCCCTGGGGAAATGGCCCCAGCTGGCGGGGGCTGCCCACAGGACAGACAGGAAAGGCCCAGAAACCTCCCTCCGCAATGGAGCCCCTCAGCCACGGCTCCACTCCCCAAACCTGAGCCCCGGGCAGCCTCCTCTGGGAGTTTCCTGTGTTGCCCATGCATCCCACAGCTGGCAGGGCCTTCTGAGCCTCCCATTTTCTCTCTGTTCCATACACCACCACGCCAGGGTCCAGCCCAGAGCCCTGTCCTGGCCTGCCTCTTGCGCCCTCCCATCCATTCTTCACAGGCAGTCCGGGGAGCGGCTTTCTAAAGGCCTTCTTTAACCCTGTCCCTCTCTCTATGAAACCCTTCCCTGGTTGGCTCCCCCCATGCAAGCAGTCCCCACCCCTCCCAGTGGCCCCCAGCCCCTTGCACTCCAGCCCCATGCCCTCTCTTCTTCCCGGCTGCTGCCTGTCCTTGGCTGTGCCATGCTTCTCCCATTGCTGGCATCCCACATGCCATTCCTCTGGCCAGCTGACGTGTTTGCTTCCTCCTCCAGAAAGCACTCCCTAACTGCAGGCCATGTCAGCTATTTCCTCTGGGATTCCCTAGTCCCTGGGTTCCCACAGCCTAGCCCTGACCACTCCAGGCCATCCACCCTACCTGGGCTGGGAGCTTTCCAGGGCAGGGCCCAGGGCTGGCTCAATCAGTGCTGTGTCCCCAGCATAGCCCAGCACTGGGCTGGGTTCAGAGTAAGAACTCAAACAGCTGTAAAGCAGTGAACCCAGCCAGCCTCACAGACCTGGCTGTCTCCTGCCCTGAACCCCCCCAACTGAGCTCCAGAATGTGCTGCAGCCAATGGCTCCTGGTGGCCTCACCAGGTCCAAAGAGGACCAACAGCAAAAGGACCTGAGAGCAGACCTTGGGGGAAACCTCCCAGACATGAAGCAGGGGCCTTCAAGGGCCTTCCTGGAGAAGTGGGTTAGGAGCAGACCCCATCCCTCCACCACCGGGGCAGGCATACCAGCGCGGGGGCCCCAGGCACTCACAGCGGTCGGGGGGTGTGATTGTGATGGACTGGGCGGTGAATTCATCATCAAAGTACCTTGTGTCGACCTCGGACGTGACCTGAGGTTTGAAGGGTGGCAGGAGCTACGGAGGAGAGGAGCTCAGGCTCAGGGACCCTGAGGCCAGGAGGCATCAACCAAGGTCACCACGAGCGGGCCAGGCCCCTGAGGGTCCAGCTGGGGCAGGCAGTGGGGGCTCACCTTCTTCTGGACCACGTCCTGCCAGTTGATGCTGAGGAAGAACCTGTGCTCCATGACCTCCTTGGCATCGCTGGGCCCCCCACCAAGCCTGGGCAGAGATGGCCGTCAGCACCTGCCTCCCAGAGCAGCCGGGTTCGGGGAGACGGGCTTTCGGCAGAGGCAGGCCCTGTATGGCCTTTAATGATTCTGTCTTGACCACAAACCACCACTTCACAGGAGGAAACCGAGGCTCAGGGAGGGAGCTCACTTGCCCAGGGTCCGAGCCGGGGAGTCAGCAACTTGGACCCATGTGTCCTCACAGCCTGGCCTCACCCTTGAGTCCAGAAAGGGAGTTAGCAGGGGCAGGCTCGGTTCCTATCCTGGCTCTGCCACATATGGTTTGGCGGCCCCAACCAGGCCTAGGGATGCCCTGTTTCTCAGTGTCCCCATAGAAATGTCCCCCATAAGGCAGTGTCAAGGATGGGCCTGCCCTGGGGGGAGTACTCCCTAAGTGCCACTGTGGACATTTTCAGGTGCTGTGTGGGAACAACACACACTGCGACCCCACAAGCGAGCGCCCTTGTGGACGCTGCCCCCTCCAGGCCGCAGGGACAGTGGCGGCAGGTGGCGCTGGGCTGGGCTGGACTGGACGGGGCCGATGCCAGCCCTCACCTCTGCTTGGGGTCCTTCTTAAGCAGCCCGGCAAGCAGGGACTTGGCCTCGGGGCTGAGCGTGCGCGGGAAGCGGATCTCTTCCATGAGGATGAGCTCGAAGAGGCGCTCGTGGTCCTGGTTGTAGAAAGGCAGGCGGCCGCACATCATCTCGTACATGACCACACCCAGCCCCCACCAGTCCACGGCCCGGCCATAGTCATTGTCCTCCAGCACCTGAGGATGGAGGGGAAATGAGGGCTGGGGCCCGTGGCCCTGAGGCTGGCATCACAGTCCTGCCCTCAGGGCATCTGGGCTGGAAACACACAGGTCTGGGGGTTCCCCCTTCCCTTGGCCTCACATGTTCCTACCCCCCCGCAAACCCCAGACACCTCAGGCGCCAGGTACTCCGGGGTCCCACAGAAGGTTTTCATGGTAGCCCCGTCACTGATGCCTTCTTTGCAGAGGCCAAAGTCAGTGATCTTGATGTGGCCGTCTTTGTCCAGCATGAGGTTTTCCAGCTGTTGCAAAAGTCAATGGATCTCAGGCGTGTGCTCCAAGGGGTTCCTGCTACCCCAGCCTTTCCTTCCAGGGAAAGATGCCAGGGGCTCCTGGACATCAACCCTCCCATGCCAGGCTGGGCCCAGCACACACAGCCTCACCCTCTGAGGCTCAGAGAGAGGCCAGACCCAACCCTCCCCACACCCTGGCCCACCCCCAGGGTACCTGGACACAGCTGGGCAGGGAGAACCGAGAGCCAGGCCCTGTCCACCCACTGCCCCCACTGTCAGCTGCAGGTTCTTACGTTCGAACATGGGGGCACAAGCTTTCTTCTATTTTTTTTTTTCTAGACTTTTTGTCTTTTAATTATGAAATATGCAGCCAGGCAAAGTGGCTCACACTTTGGGGAGCTTAGGCGGCAGGACTGCTTGAACCCAGGAGTTTGAGACCAGCCTGGGCAACACAGCAAGACCCCATCTCCATATTTTTTAATATGAAAAATAAATTAGCCAGGCATGGTGGCACACACCTATAGTCCCAGCTGCTTGCGAGGCTGAGATGGCATCTCCCCCTGGAAGGCCCTGTGTGCCCCTCCCAGTTACTGACCATCCCCCACAAGAATTAACCTCTACTTCCCGTCTGTACCACTGCACACAGACACACCTGTGAACTGTGGACTCACCTCCTCTGTGCGGCTTTCCCTCGACATTAGCCTATGAGATGCGTCCACACTGTCGCGTGTCGCTGTAGCTCATTCCTAACTGCTGTGTGGCACCCCACTGTGCGAACACTCCACAGTGGGTCTGACCTCTCCTCACAGTGGGCACTTGGGTTGTTCCAGTTGGGGCTAGAGTGAGTCCTGCTGCTGAGTGGGGGGGACACTTTCTAAGGTGAATGTGTGTCCCCACTTCTCTTGTGCACACACTGACGAACTATCTTCTAAATTTGGCTGGGCGCGGTGGCTCACACCTGTAATCCCAGCACTTTGGGAGGCTGAGGTGGGTGGATCATGAGGTCAGGAGTTTGAGACCAGCCTGGCCAACATGGTGCAACCCCATCTCTATTAAAAATACAAAAATTTGCTGGGCATGGTGGCGGGCACCTGTAATCCCAACTACTCAGGAGGCTGAGGCAGGACAATAGCTTGGACCCAGGAGACGGAGGTTGCAGTGAGTTGAGATCGCACCACTGCACTGAACGGAGCAGGACTCCTCATAAATAAATAAATATAAATAAAGTAGGGATTGTGTCAGTTCACACTCCACTAGCAGCCTAGGAGTGCTCGTGGGAGGCTTGGAAAGGTCCCCACTTGGGGCCACTTGCTACAGAACCACCCCCCTGGACCTTGGTGGGAAGCTTGGCGAATGAGGGCAGAAGGCCTCAGTCCCACCTCCCCAGTGTGAGTCCCATGTGGTGTGCGTGCCACAGGTCAGCCTGGTGCACACCCTGCCACTAACCTTGATGTCGCGGTACACCACGTCCCGCGAGTGCAAGTACTCAAGAGCCGAGACGATCTCTGCACCATAAAACCGGGCCCGCTCCTCTGTGAAGACACGCTCCCGGGACAGGTGGAAGAACAGCTGCAGGAGGAGGCAGTGAGGAGAGGAGGTCAGGCCCCAGCCCACCCACCTGCCCTCACCTTCCCAACCCCCTACCCCAGCCCCAGTGATGTGGTGACACCTGTGTCATGAACCAGTAAGTGACAGCTACAGGGACCAAGCAAGGCACAGCGCAGAAGCTCACGAGTGACACAGAGCTGGGGGTGAAGGGCGAGGGTCCACCAGGAGACACCCACGAGAGGGTATGACAGGGACATCCAAGACAGAGGAGGGAAGACAGCATGGAGGCAAAGAGAAGCACACGTCATGACCAAGTAACAATAGGCCGTGGGCAAGCCCAGATCGGACGGATGAGCAAACCTCCCATCCCAATACAGGCGTGCCAACCGCTGCACAGAGAAGGCTCGAGGCAAGCAGTGGGTGACAGAAGTGAGGTAACTCTGTGAGGGGGAGCTGAGTGGCTGCTGGAATCCACTTCGGAAGGACACGGGAACAGAGGGCTGCTAGGTTTTAACCCTTGGGAGCCTTTTCTGGGGCCTTTAAGACCATCCCTCCCAGTGCTGTTGCCCCACAGCCCTCTCCACACCTCTCTGGACTGGTGTGGACCTGACCCACCCACTCACTAGCTGTGTGAACCTGGGCAAGCCACTGAACCTCTCTGAGCCTCAGTGACCACCCCCCAAAATGGAGATGATGCCGCCTGCCTCAAGGGAGAGGAGCACAAGATGACATTGAAATTTCCCTCCACCCTTCCATCTCACCCACAGCTCCTCTCCAACCCGCCCCACCCTAAAGAAGAAGGCCCCAGAGGGCAAAGCCAAGGCAGCCGCGGCTCACCTCGCCACCGTTGGCGTACTCCATCACGAAGCACAGGCGGTCGTGGGTCTGGAAGGCGTACTTCAGCGCCTGGCGGATGAAGGCAGCAGGGTAGGAGGTGGGAGGGAGGAGGACTCTGCTGAGCCACACCAGGGCAGGGCCCTGGCCCTGCTTATTCTGCACACATACACGCTGCCCTGGCTGGGGCCCCCGGGAATCAGCCAGATGGGGTTCACATACTGGCTGCACCTTTTGGGGCGTTAAGTGAAGGCATGGCTCTGCAGGTAGGAAAGCGTTACATGCTGAACCATGTTGTCCTCTGCCTCCATCAGGCACAGCCAGGGGAAAACTAGAGCTGTACTGAGCAACCAGGGCTCTTGTTTTTACAGTAAAATGTGTTCAACTTACACACACAAGTGATGTCTGCTGTGGCTGGGAGTGGCAAAGGCTTGGGAGCCAACTTCAACAACAGGATGGACAGGGGGTCCCTCAGCTCATGACAACTCAACTATTCTGTTTTCTACACTGAGGTACCTCATAAGAGTTTATTTGAAAAAGTACTGTGGCTTAATAGGATACCTAGACAGCAACTGAGATAAAGAAATGACACATAAGCCATCCTTAATCTAATCCATTTAACTGGTGGCCACTGGCCTCGATGGAGACTGCACCCCAAATAGGCATCTACTCAGTCCAAGCGGACAGACAACACAATGCTAACACATCTGCTTCTATGAGCATATCTGAAAACAAAAACAAAAACAAAATAATATTTCTACTTCAACCAGCTGGGCTAAGTGCCCTAACTCATAGAGACAGCAGCCATCAAATAATGTGTTATCTTCAGTTGGCTCAAGTGCTTATACGAAGCCACCATCTCTGAAGAAGCTGTCACCCTCCCACTCCCTGAGCCTGCTCACCCCCACGTCTCGGTTCGGAAGACTTGGCAGGGCGCAGCAACACCGTGCCCTGGCCGCCTGGCCTCCCCCAAGGCTGTGCTTTGTAGCAGAAGATTTGGGCTCTTTCTCTGAGCTCTGTCCAAAGGCTGGCCTCACACTGTCTGGGAAAGGGAGGGCAACTCACAGTGAGGAACGGGTGCCTGGTGTTCTGGAGGACCCGGCTCTCGGTGACTGTGTGAGCGACTTCATCCTGCAGAGACAGACTGCGGGTGAGGGGCTGGTGGGCAACACCATGCCTGCCCACCCCACCCCGACCGAGGAAGGGGAGCAAGGCCTTGTGAAATGCAATTCCATTCCCAGCCATAAATGCAGAAATAATCACAGGAGTGGAATGTGAATGCCTGCAAGCCCTCAGCAAATAACAGACCCAGACGAGGATCATCAGTGGCTCTCAAAGCCACAGGTGAAAAGTCAGCAGCAATGTCACAATGAAGGGACCAGGCTGCTAGGGGCAAGACACTTGTGACGTCCCTGCAGGGGAGACAGACAGACATCACAAGAGCCCCGAGGTGCCACCACAGGCTGTGGGAAGCCCCACCTAGACAGCGCTCTTGCCCAAAGAAGGAACTGGGCCTAACGAAGCTCTAGACAGCAAAGCAGTGCTTCTCAGGGTGTGGTCCCCACACGGGCACATCAGCACTGCCTGCGAACTGGCAGCAATGCAAATTCCTGGGACCTACCCCCAGGCCCACTGGGTCAGAAACTCAGGGTGGGCCCAGCGCTGTCTCACAAGCCCTCTAGGTGACTCTAATTCAGGTTCTAATTGACTGTACAGCAGAACCACCAGGAGAGGTTCCAAAAATCTGGAGCCACCTGCAGCAACTGCACACAGGCTCTCCCTGGGGCAAGTTGATCCCCAGGGGACACCTGAAAATGTCTAAAGTCTTTTTTTTCTTTAGCTGGGGGTCTGGTTCTGTTGCCCAGGCTGGAGTGCAGTGGTGTGAACATGGGTCACTACAGCCTCAACCTCTGAGGCTCAACTGATCCTCCCACTTCAGCCTCCTGAGCAGCTGGGACTGCAGGTGCACGCCACTATGCCCGGCTAATTTATTTTTATTTTTATAGAGACAGGGTCTCGCTTTGTTGCCCAGGCTGGTCAACGAGCCCAGCCCAGCGATCCTCCCACCTCAGCCTTCTAAAGTGCTGGAATTACAAGCATGCACTGCAGCACCCAACCCAAAAGTCATTTTTGATTGTCACAACCTAGGGAGCTACTATTGGCTTTAGTGCGTAGAAGCCAGGGGTGCTGCTAAAACCCTACAATGCACAGGGTTGCCCCGACAGCACAGAACAATCTGTCCCAAAATGTCAACAGTGCTGAGGCTGAGGAATGCTGCCTTAGGACCAATCACCACATCAGGAATGAACAGTTAATGTGACTGGCTCTGATGGCAGCACCACGATTATATTCTTTACAGCCTTCATCTGTCAGGGCACGTGTTCAAGTGTGGATGAGTGAAGCGACGTGATGTCTAAGACAGGCCTTAAAGTATTCCAGAACAAGAGAGGCAGGCAGAGCTAAGGAAACAAGGCTGGCCAAATGCTGATAACTGGTTAAACTGGACAGTGGCTACATGGGGGTCCGTAATATTTATTTTCTTTTTAAATTTTTGAATATCTTTGGAATCTTCCACTACAAAAACTTCAAATAAGGGAAAAAGTAGAATTCCATTCTTGGCCCGGCCTCCAACTGGGATACCCTGAGCAGAGCCCTGGCCTCCCCAACAGGAACGTCCTCACAGCCTCCCCAACAGGCCCCAGCCTCCCTTGACAGTACCTGCTGGGTGAGGCCCCGAGGCTCGCTCTCTCCACAGGCACCCCCAGCCCCTACCAGAGGGTGGAAGTGGGGACTCAGCAGCAAGGCCTGCTGCTCCTCTCTGGGCCTCAGGCTCCCCCTTTTCTGTCTGGAGGGAACTCGTGGGGGAAATAAGCCCACGGCAGCAGAAAGCGTGGGTAAGCGTCCAGGCCTCAGGGTCAGGCTCCAGACCGCAGCCCCCGCAGGGGCCAGCAAGCACAGTTCCCGGGGCACGCACCTTGGCAATGATGACTTCCTTCCGCAGGATCTTCATGGCGTAATAGCGGCCAGTGGCCTTCTCCCGCACCAGGATGACTTTGCCAAAGGTTCCCTTGCCAAGGAGTTTGAGATAGTCGAAATCATTCATGGTCTGCCAGGGACAGGGAGAGTGGGGGCAGTCAGCGCCTGGCTCACGGCCCATGGGAGGAAATTTTAACAAAAGAAAGAGGAAAACCAAAAGACACTGTTGCCAAACGGCTTAGGCTGGAGCAGGAAGGGAGGCTCTGGGCAGCAACTGTGTGTTCTGAAGTGGCCTTCAGACCAGGCTCTGCAGGCACAGGGCCTTGGGAGGGCTGGGCTCTGATGTGGGGGTAGCCAGGTCTTCACCACCTCCCAAGACGAAGCTGCAGTGGGTCCACCTAGGGTTGCTTCCTCCCCCACGGGCACGGAGAAGACCCGAGGGCACCTGCCACCTGAAATCACCCCACCCTGCAGGGCAGCTCTGTTGTCTCTCAGCTGAGCCCCCTGAACTGTGTATGGAAACCAAGGAGAGCAGGGCCAGCAATGGGGATGGGGGGCATCACAGGCTGGCAGCCCCACCCCTGCTTCCAGCACTTACCACTTTAGCCCGTGCCTTGCTGACCGCCACTTCCATCTCCTCGGCCGCGGAGGAGTCACTGGGGGAGCCACACTTGTAGTCCATGGGGTCCTCACCTGGGGCCCGCTGCTTGAGGCTGTTGGCAACCATCTGGATGGCCCGCATCCATTCCTCCCTATGCAGGGACACACGTGAGTCCCAGGAGCCAGGAGTCCTGGGCCTCAGAGTCAAAGGGCTGAGTGCCACCTCCCAGCCACCCCCTGCAACAGGCAAGCAAATGACCACACACCCATGGGAATTTGGGCACGATCTGTCAGAACCAGAGAGAGCTGAAGGGACCTGAGTGAAACTCCACAGACCCCCGGCTGTGATGGTGAGGAGCGGGTAAATGTGGAATGCAGGCCAGGCGCAGTGGCTCATGCCTGTAATCCTAGCACTTTGGGAGGCTGAGGCGGATGGATCACGAGGTCAGGAGTTCGAGACCAGCCTGGCCAACATGGCAAAACCCCGTCTCTACTAAAAATACAAAAATTAGCCGGGCATGGTGGCAGGCGCCTGTAATCCCAGCTACTCAAGAGGCTGAGGCAGGAGAATTGCTTGAACCCAGGAGGCAGAGGTTGCAGTGAGCACAGATCACGCCATTGTACTCCAGCCTTGTGACAGAGCAAGACTCCGTCTTAAAAAAAAAAAAAGTGGAATACAAAGAGAGATCACCAATTTCCCTAAAGTGACCTGGCCTGAGGGCCATCTGAAGCCAGGGAGCAGGCAAATGATCAAAAAGGAGTGACCCTCTCTTTTCACAGCCCCTTGAAAATGAGCCAGCACCCTGAGCCTTGAATGAGGGAGAGACGGGGCTCCTGTAAATTCTTCAGAACAAATGACAAGCTCCAGTTTATAAGTTACCAATGTTTTGTAAAGTTAAACCAAGAGTAAGAAGCAGCATTCATTAGCCAAAGGAGCCGAAGACATTACAAGGCAAGAGCTGGCCCGCAGGATCCCTGGAGGGGACAGTCCGCTGGGAGCAGGGAGTCTGCATGGCAGGGACAGAGGTCCTGGCAGCCCAGGGGCGTAGAGGAGAGAAGCTGGTGGACAGGAAGCAGGTCCCAGCAGAAGGGAGCCTGGTTTAGAAACAGTCAACTAGAAGCTAAGTACTGTGGCTCACACCTGTAATCCTAGCATTTTGGGAGGCCGAAGTGGGCCAAGTGCTTAAGCCCAAGCGTTCAAGACCAGCCTGGGCAACAAAGCAAGACCCATCTCTAAAAAAGTTTTCAAAAAACAAAAATAAAAAATAAAAACAGGCCAGGTGTGATGGCTCACGCCTGTAATCCCAGCACTTTGGGAGGCCGAGGCGTAGGATCCCTTGAGGTCAGGAGTTTGAGACCAGCCTGGCCAACATAGTAAAACCCAGTCTCTACTAAAAACACAAAAAATTAGCCAGGTGTGGTGACATGCGCCTATAGTCCCAGCTACTTGGGAGGCTGAGGCAGGAGAATCACTTGAACCCAGGAGGGGGAGGTTGCAGTGAGCCAAGATCGCACCATCGCACTCCAGCCTGGACAACAGTGCGAGACTCCATCTCAAAATAATAATAATAAAAATAATAATAATAATAATAATAATAAAATAAACAACAAACTAGTTCTGTCACTCATGGTTTAGAACTTGCTGGGAAAGAACTGTCTTTGGGCCAGGCTCGGTGGCTCACACCTGCAATCCTGGCACTTTGGGAGACTGAGGTGGGAGGATGACTTGCATCCAGAAGTTTGAGACCAGCCTAGGCAACACGGATATCCATTTTGTAGAGACCAAAGATAAAAAATTAGCCAGGTGTTGTGACGGCACATGCCTGTGGTCTCAGCTACTCAGGGGCTGAGGTGGGAGAACTGCTTGAGCCCAGGAGGTGGAGGCTGCAGTGAGCCATGATCATGCCACTGCAATCAGCAAAAAAAAGAAAAGAATTTTCTTTGGATACTTACAAACTGTTCTGCCTAATAAGTGAAAATGACCAGAGACCAAAATGAAAAATATACTAGGCTGAATGACACCAAATTGTCCACATCCCCCATTTTTGACCACACCACAATTATGTGTTTTCAACCTAATGCATTTTGAACCCTCTGTGTATTTTGCTTGTGTCTAGAAAATACCCACATGACCAATAGGAAAAATAAAATGTTTACTAATAGAAAATTCAAAGAGTACAAGTAGGCAACTTCCCAAATCCCAGTGATTTAAATAAGCCACAGGGAGTACAGCCAGCACTTCACACGCATCTTCCAGGGTGGCCCCCGCCCCAGGGCAAGTGTCATTGCTCCTGTGTTCCTGAGGCACTGGGGCACCCACCCAAGGTCAGGCAGGGAACAAGTGGCTGGCATTGGGCTTCAAAATCCAAGCCGGGGCACCCTGCTGGGCTGTATTCCTCTCCAGTGTCGTTTCCTGGTGTACCACGCGAAACTACTTCTATTTCCATCCGTCCCACCATGCACCCTCTTCCACATTTTGACACTGCTGAAATGCAGATGCATCTCACAGTTGGGGTCTGTCTTGATTTAACTGGGCACTCCTTTTTCTTGGCACTATACGAAATAGGGTGCCCCCCCGATGACAGCACCTTCGATTTGATGAAATATCACAGCAGTGTTTAACACACAGGCTGTTGTGAGGTAGAATGCCTGTGAGGCATCTGTACAATGAGACATGCAGCTGGGGGAAAGACGGAGGCAGGTCTGTATGCTGACTTGGGATGACCTGAGACATCTTAAGGAAAAAAGGAAGGTGCAGGGCCGGGTGAGGTAGCTCACTGCTGTAATCCCTGCAATTTGGGAGGCAGAAGCTGGAGGATTGTTTGAGCCCAGGAATTCCAGACCAGCCTGGACAACACAGGAAGACCTCGCCTCTATAAAACATTTCAAAATGAAGGAAGGTGAAGAACAGTGTACAGTTCTGTGCTCCTGAGTTGGAAAATAATGAACTTCTGCGGACACATACTCACACAGGCACAAACATCTCCAGCAGAGAAGCCACGATCCTGGAGCCTTGCCTGCCTCCAGGGAAGGGAACTGGGAGTCGAGGAAAAGGAACAGCCTCTAATAACACATGGGAAGCACTCGCTATCATCAACCATTCCCACTCCCACCCACTACAAAGGAGGAACTGAGGCACAGATTAAAAAACCAGATTCCAGGAAAATAGCCATTGTTCCAGCCTTGGTAGCTGGAATCACAAAAGACACGCTGCCCTCCCCACCCACTCAGAGACTGGAGTCCCCACAACCCATCTCTGTCCACCCCATGGAGGCGGAGATTTCCACCTGCTGTGAACATGGTTCTGCACCCAGAACTCATGGTGGATACTCGGTAGATACTTGGGTAATGAAAGAGTGAGGCAGCCAAAGTCCAGGTGGTCCCAGAGCCAGGGCGCAGCAAGGCCCAGCACAGACCCGGGCAGAGCATACACTGAGCCTTGGTGCACACCCAGGCAGAGAGGTGCTGGCTTCTGCACTCCCTGGCCCAACGTCTCAAGCCAGTATTTCTCAACTTGCTTTAACCCATGCCCTCTTTGGAACAAATTATAGCCTAATTCCCAAACGCTACACTAATATTCCTGTTTTTCAAAAAAAAAAAAAAGGGGGGGGGGCACGGGGCAGGAGCCGACTCCACGACAGGTTTTTTTTTCTTTTTTATTTTTGGAGACAGAGTCTCGCTTTGTTGCCAGGCTGGAGTGCAGTGGCTCCCTGGTTCAAGCAATTCTCCTGCCTCAGCCGCCAGAGTAGCCGGAACTATAGGCACCTGTCACCATGCCCAGCTAATTTTTGTATTTTTAGTAGAGACAGGGTTTCACCATGTTGGCCAGGATGGTTTCGATCTCTTGACCTCATGATCTGCCCGCCTCAGCCTCCCAAAGTGCTGGGATTACAGGCGTGAGCCACCGTGCCCAGTCTTCCATGCCATGCTTTATCAGACATTGTTGTCCTCTCACAAATTTTAAATTTTTTTAATGCTGACTCTGAGTAAATGATGGTGGATTGAGAAAAAAAAATCACAGATCTCCTAAGAGATACAGTGAATATATTAAAAAGGAAAATATGTCTTTCATATATAAAAATCTTGAGAGACTGTCACGTGAAGATGGCAGATTGCAGACTAAGATGTACAGCGTGGTATCATCTTTGTTTTCAAAGAGAGGGGTGGAGAGAACACAGATGTTCTCTCTGTGGAGAGAACCCGAATACATGAAAGACGGCACAGCCACACCACCAGCCCAGAAGCAGCTCTGGGAGGCTACTCCAGATGGGAATCAGGAGCACAGGCCCTGGAGCCACCCCAGCTGGGGCTCCAAGAGTGGCTCTGCCACCTGGACGAGCTCAGCCCTCCCAGCTCTCTTAGTCCCAACCAGGGCCTGGGGCTAAGAGGTTGGTGGACTGTGGGCACACAGCACCGCACACAGGGCTGGGCGGAAGGCACTCAACTTGGGGAGGGTGCCGAAGACACCTGCAGGGGCGGGCCTACCCCACCTACCCTGGCTCCCACTGCCCACCCTACAGAGAGCTCCAGAAACACAGCGAGGCAGGAGGTTACACGGGAGTAACTGGAGCTCGCCTGCTGCCTGACAAGCCTCCGATCCAATTCTAACTGGATCAAAGTTGCAAGGTTGCAGCATTCGGAATTCCAGACGAAAAGCAAGGGCCTCTGTCCAGGATCCTTCTCAAGGGTTTGCAACATGGGGTCTGGGGCAAAGGGGAGCTCCCCCTGAAGCTGGGCCTCAAGTATCTTCTAGCCCCCAGAGGAGAGCCCTGGGGAAACCACGACTGTAAAAATAACAATACTGAATGGCCAGCTCTGGACACCACCTTGCTTGACTCTCGAGAGCACTGCAATTCTCAAGAGCCAGCATTTCTGCTGTGGGGACCGAGGCACACGGAGGTGGAGTCACCTGTGAAGGTCACACAGCAGGGACGTGGCAGAGCTGGGACTCACCTGTGCACAGCCTACTCCTCCTTAGCACCACCCGCCTGTCCCTGAGCCTCAGCAAAGCTGCTGAAAGCTATGCGAGACCCAGGAGGGTAAAGCAGGGACCCTCTCTAGGGAAGGTTCGTGGGACCCAGCCAGGGAGCCCAGGGGCAAAGCGAAGGAAGAACTCTCCTCGGAAGCCATGATCTGCACCCGCCTTTCAGAG